GTTACCCATGTGCTGGTAACCTCATGTCTGGATTACTGTAATACAGTCAACACAGCATTGCCTTTGAAGATGGTCTGGATACTTCAATTAATCCAAAACAGTAGCACAGTTACTAACAATGACTGGCCCTAGAGAACATGTAACACTGCCTGTCATTGCCTGGGACCAATTCAAAGTGCTTACGCTAACATATAAAGCCTTAAATGGATTGTGACCAGGATATCTAAAGGAATGTCAGTCTCCATGTATGCCTACCAGACCACTCAAGTCATCAATGGAGGCCCTCCTTCATGAACTCCCTCCAAATGAGGTGAGGGGGAATTGGCAAGGAAAAGGGCCTTCTCTGTTGTAGCACCTCACCTCTGGAATTTCCTTTCAAGGGAGGTGCAGCTGGCACTCACTTTATATTGCTTTCAGCACGGAGTTAAGACTTATTTAGTATCTGTTTGTAGATTATTATTGGTCTTGTTGCTGGTTTGTTGTTTTATTGGTTTGTGTTTTATTGGTTACATTGTGTTTATTCCTCCTGTTGTATTTATATTGTATTTTTGCTCTATAATGTTTTATGGGTTTAGTTATTGATGATATTTATTTTTATCTGTATTTTCCATTTTTATTCTGTATGACAGTTTATCATTGCACTGTAAGCTTCCCAGAGAGCCTCTGGCTATGGAGCTGCATATAAATGCAATAAATAAATAATAAATATTTTTGTAAATAAAATGCTATGGTAATTTAATTGATTAATAAACTTCTGAAAAATGGGAGTGGGCACCAAATTTGCACCCTTTTCCTGAACATATATACTTAAGCTTGTATTTCTGCTTTTGCTATACTGTATTTATTGATTATTTAAAAAATCCTACCACACATTGAAAACTTTTTCAAAGCATCTATCAAAAACATTGTTAGTGTAAGTGTGATTGGACTAAAAAGCTTGGTGCAACAGTACTCTAACATACTGAGCTTCATTAAGCTCAGGGCTGCTTTAGATATTGGATGATTCCTATTAGTATCTTCTGCACTAACGTTAAAAAACATAATTAATAGCACCATGCTTTGAAGATCAAGGGTGTTTATCTGTCCTGTGTTGAGGATAGAGAGGCCACTGCAAGAGAGAACTCAGTGGAAAAGTTTTGTTTAAATAAAATGTAGTTTTGTTCAGAAGGCAGAGGCTGCATGAGTCTGTGGGGTGCAACTTTGAAGCTAATAGCAGCTTTGGGAAGAACTTAGGGAAATTGATTAAACAACATTTGTAGAGTGCCTGTATCCCAATCTTGAAAGCTGACTATTTTGTGCTATTTAATGTTGGATGTGCAACTTAGTTTTACTTCCCCCCCCCTTGATTTCTTTTGTTTTGTTTTTTGGTTTTAATAATGGGAAAATTCAGTTATGAACCACATTGTGGGAGATCCTAATAGTGACATGTCTAGTTTGACCCTTAGTCAGTAATATTCCCATAGAAATCATGGCTGCAGAATTTCCAGACATACCTGAAATATGTAACATATCTAACAGCTGTTGCTGGCAAACTTATCAATGCACTGTAAAATAAAACTGCTGTTATGGAGGATGATGGATTCTGTCCATATCTTTCATCACTTAGTAAATTATTAAACATCAGTTCCTTTGTTTTCAGTGTGGTTTATGAACCAGTATGCAGTGAAGCCAGTATTTATGTATACTGGAGTGTATTTTAATTTGAAATGCTTAGTTTGGCTTTGTTTTCTCCTTATTTTGAATGTTTTTAAACAGCATAAGCTTTACTCTGCTGCTGTCTCGTAATATTCATAGATATTACATGGCTTTCTTCAGAACTGAGAAGGAAGCAAATGATTTGGTGTGCTGACATCCATTGAATAAGCTTGACAATGAAATACAATAATCTGTCATTATCACATTGGATGGAATTTATGAGGTCTGCAATTTGAAATTATCAATTTTGTTTCCTCACAGGAAGTTCTGAAGCTACAACCAGATAAAGAAATTACAGAGATATAAAGATTTTTGCTGATAACCTTGAAAGAAACTTTATAACTCTGCTATGTGTATAGTGTGTTTTATTTCTTTACATGCCAGTGTTAGATGTATAAATATAATGCACAGATTCTGAAAGCAGATGCTTCAAATAGCATGTACATTGACTGGCTTTGGCAGACAGGCAAAACTGAAACTGCCCCTATCATGTGTAGAATAGCTTTCAAACGGGACTAGCCCAACAGTGAAGGCAAGGTAGAGATGGCCCTTGCCTCCTTTTTTCCCAAAAAAATAAAGGAAACAGTTTATTATTATTTTATTTACTTCTAATCTTTGTATTTATTTATTTTATTTTATTTATTAAAACATTTTTAAGCCGCCCCGAGGCTTCGGCGAATGGGGCGGCATAAAAATGTTTTAATAAAAAGGTCTTAGCCTGGCGCCGAAAAACAAATAACGACGGCGCCAGGCGGACCTCTCTGGGGAGCGCATTCCATAACTTAGGCGCCACCGCTGAGAAAGCCCTTCTCCGAGTAGCCACCCTCCTAATTTCTCTCACGGAGGGCTCCCGGAGAAGGGCCTCTCCCGCCGATCTCAGTTTGTTTGTACAGTTTGTTTTCTTCTTTGTGAAGAACTACCCCTTAGGTAGTTGAAAATATATGTTTGCTAGTTTATAAACCTGAAAAGACATTTGTGTATTTTTAGAGAAAACTTGATATTTTTTCTGATCTGTATAAATGTGAGATCTTTTCAATTTTATACAAGCTTGTTTAAACTGAGCAATAACTATCCTGTTTTTTGTTCTAACCAGATGCAAAGAGCATAGTCCTCTGCACATTTAGACAGCCAAATGTGGATTGAGAGTTCAATCCTGTACAGTTCTAGACAGATTTTTTGTTTTTGGTTTTATTTTTTAATAGTTAATATTTTTCATGTCCAAGAATTCCCTTGTGGCATTCTACTTTCTTTTCAAATATTAGAAAACTGTAATATGATAAAGTGTGCAATCCTACATATGTATATGATTGAGACTGAAAATAATCAGTAAAACCTCTTTCATGCATAGGTTACGGATGGATTTTTTCTGAAATGAGTTAGCAAATGATTCAGTTAAAGAGTATGAAATGTAAAAAGTAATTACTACAATTGTACTTTTCACTGTTGTGTTTCTGCAGTTGTCATCGCTGACTTATGGTGACGCTATGAATCTGTGTCCTCCAAAATGTCCTGTCTGTCATAGCTCTGCTCACCTCTTCTAAACTCAGAGCTTTATGAGATAAAGATTCATCTGTTCTCCTTCTGCCTCCAACTTTACCTAACGTAATTATCTTCTCCAATTGAGTCTTGCCTTCCCATGCTCTGTCCAGCGTACAACAGTTTTGGTTTCATCATTTATGCTCCCAAGAAAAATTCCGATTTTTATTAATCTAGGACCCACTTGTTTGGCCTTCTGTTAGTCACAAAGCTTTCCTCTAGCACCATACTTCAAATGTATCATTTTTCTTTTGGCCTGCTTTTTCCTCTGTCCAGCTTTCACATCCATATATAGTGATTGGGAATACAATAGTTTGGATGATCTTGGCCTTGGTCTCCAGTGAAAGGCTTGATTATCTTTTCAGGTTTCTTCACTGTTGCCTTTCCAAGTCAGTCTACTTGAAATTTCTTGGCTGCAGTCTCTCCCTTTGATTAATGATTGAGATAGGGCATGCAACATATTGCACAATTTCATTTCTTCATTGTTGTCATTAAAATTGTGCAATTTTTCTGTAGTCATTATTTCGGGTGTTCGGGTGACTTTACTCCCACTTGTTTTACTTTCATCAGGAATTGTTTCAGTTCAATTGCAACTTTCTGCCATTGATATGGTATTTCTTGTGGTTCACACAATGTTTTGCTGTAGTCCATAAAGGATAGATGGTTCTTCTGAAACGTTTTGGTTCAGTCCAGTAGCTAATGTGTACTTGTGATATGATCTCAAACACCTCTTTATTTTGGGAATTCTACTTGCATTTTTCATTCCATATAGGGTAAAATTCTTGGTCGCAACCCCTTGAGCCTCATTTTGCTTGCATTGGAACTTAGTGTAATGGTCTTGTAGTTGCTGCAGTCTTTTGCAGCTCTTTTCTTTGGAATGTATACTGAATGTTTCCAGTCTGTAGGCCATTGCTTTGTTTCCATATTTATTAGCATATTCTTGTTAAGATTCCTTCCTTGTAGTTTGGAATAGTTATGTTGGTATCCTATCTACTCTGGGTAGTTTATTCTTTTGAAATGCTTTCAGAACAGCTTTCACTTCACTTTCTAATATTGCAGGTTCTTCCTCATGGAATTCCTCTTTAAAGGAGTCTGCCACCTTTTTAAAATAGTTCATCTCACCAAAAATAGTTCTGACAATAAGGCTTACATTTTAAACAGGTTTAATATCAAACTTTCAAGTATGAACTACATAAAACCATGCAATAGTACAGCTGGAAGGGGCCATGAAGGTAATTGGTTTCAGCCCCCTGTTGTTGCAGGACAGCAGTTTACACCATCCCACTCAGTTTACACCATCCTGTTCAGTTTCTTTTTGAATGTGCCTAGTGTGGGAGAGCCCACAACCTCTGTATGTAACTGGTTCTACTGTCATATTGCTCTGACAGTGAGGAAACTTTTCCTGATATCTAGCTTGAATCTGGATTGTCACAGCTTGACTTGATTGTTCCGTTTCCTACACTCTAGCTCAAAGAAGAGATCTTGACCTTCCTCTTTGAGCCGTTGAGGTACTTATAGAGGGATATCATGTTCACAGTTCAAATCCTGAACAAAGAACAGGGAATGTTCTCTTGAGCTCACAAATTTCAACTGTAGGTTCCTTAAAAGTAGCACTGGAATGGAGCTGATAGTTGTGGATTCCATAATTTAAAAAGAATTATTCCATTTTTAAAAGAAATGTGCTAAACATAGCAAGCTCAGCATAATTCTTACTTGTTTTCTGACCAAATTCATATGCAGCTAATATTCCTTAATTAAACTAATGCCAGTTTTGGTCGGCCTGGAGTTGAATGCTATTGCCAACACGATAGTGGTGCTGCAGTAATCCAGCTTCAGTTTCTGATCAATGAGGTTGGTAATCCTGTTTTATGTTTTGTGTATTACTTCTGCCAAGTGCCCAACATAAAGCTTGTAAAAGGGTAGCTCAGACATTTCTAAATATTTTTTAAAAAATTGAACATGTTTCATTTATATCAAAATAGTGCATGTATTTAAAACAGAAGGCGGCAAGTTGTTTAGTGCAAATTGTTACAGCTAAACCAGTTATGGGATAATGTGTTATAGGATGGCCAGTTACATTGAAAGAATTATATTATGTTTGATGTCTGCATTCAGATTTAATGGCAAAAGTTACACTTTGCTGTTAGAAGCACAAGCAGTCTTGGGCTCACATGCTGCCTCTTTCTCTTCTGTACAAAGAGATTAGAAGTAGAGATTCTGTTCTTGATTTGTGGCAAACCATGATCTTTAAGATTATATCGGGGACATGGTTTATGGCCTTTGTATAGACAGAATATAATTGGCATAAACAGAAAAAAGGATAATTGATAACTTACATTTTTAATGGCAGTAATGAATTAAGTACTTTCTGTGATGCACAGGTGAATAACTGTGCAAAATATTGTAAACAGTTTTGAATGTAACTCTGAAGTGTCTTATTTACTAATTATCTAAACATCTTATAAATTTTGCAAAACATTATTGCTTCCAAATAATCTTGATGAATATTCTTCTATCTTTAAGGGAGCCCTTGTGAGTGCCTTGGCTGATGATACCTTACACTTATGGAACTTGCGTCAGAAGAGGCCTGCTATACTGCACTCCCTAAAATTTAACAGAGAAAGGTAAGAATTGTTTGCTGCTTTTATCTTCTACAATGTTCATCAAAATTAGCAGGTTTTGGCACACAGGACAGGTGCTAAATAAGCTCTTCTATGAGCAGAAGATACCTTCCTGATGCAGAGCAGTACTTTGTTGGTCCTAATTCTTGCTGTAGGTTTAATGGAAAGTTGTCAGGGATTCCCTTTTCCTCCAGCCAGATGAGCAAATTCCTGCCCAGAAATTCCCTGGTACTTCAATTCTTGGACCAGGCACTTAATTCAGCACATGACAACCCAAACATGGGTAACAAAACAAATTTAATAAAAGGAGAAAACATAGGGATGGGGGATGCTAAAACATTACAACTAAAAGGATAAAATAGGGTAAAATGAGGAGGGGAAGCAGAAGTGGGAATAGCAACAATTGTACAATTTACAGGCAACCAAGCACCCCCCCCCCATCCCAGGGCTTGTTGAACTACTCATATGCAATAACAAGAAAGCTAACCCTGTTCTCAGCTACAGAAATTGTACCTTATACAGGATCATGGTGTGCAGGGCATCACAGAATTCTTCATCATGGAAAATAGGCAGCAGACAAGAACCCCCAAAGAAGAACAAAGAACTTCACCATTCCCTGGCATTTATTCCCCGACCCTCATCACTGGTCAGCTAGCCCATGGGGAGATGACCCATCTCCCAATCCTGGGGGACCACCCATTTACTCCAGCTGTTGGTCATTAACAAGTCACTTCTATTTCTAGTATCCTTGTGGCCAAAATTTCTGATAACTCCCAAAAATATGTCACAAAGGGAAGATGGTGGCTCCCAAAACCTTGGGCACCAGGATTCTGCTGAACTAGGACCAAACTTTATGACATTTAACCTTATGCTTTTAACTTTTCACTCACTGTCTGGGAGCCAACAGGCTGGTTCATGTTGTGCAGATTCCTATGTAGGTTGTGCAGATTCTCGGCCACAGTATTCCATGTCTATATCATAAGACAAACTGAGACAGCCACCTCAAGGAAGTGATATGGGGAGCACCTTTTCCAGCGGAGCAGATGGTTGGGAATTTGCACAGATCAGTCTCCACCCATCTGCCTTCATATCTGGCTGCTCCCCCAGTAGCCAAGGCCAGTGCCATGTTAGGTGGACTTTTGTACCACATACCTATTGACATGAAGGAGAAGGGGTTACAGCCATGGAAATAAAACACGAGAGGCAGAAAAGTAATGGGAGAAGTAATGGTGGTAGCAGTCTGCAATTGCTAGCCTTCTCTTCCTTGCTTCTAAGAAGGTGGAAAGAAAAGTGGGTGTGTCTGGGTGTGCATGTGCCCATAAACACATACAGACATAAAGGAATAGAAGGAATGTTTTGTTGTTTTACTTTATTTATAATTCATGTGTGGGCTCAGTGTTTTCCCTTGCCTGTTCCAGTTATGGGGCCTTCCTGGAATTTAGCTTCAACCAGAAGCCTTTGTTGCATACATCACTTAAAATATATCCCAGATAGCTTCCAAACAGTCACCTGCTTCCTTAGATCTTTGTCAGATATGCATAATCATACACATGCATACAATTGCTCTCACTTGATTACTGATTGGTCTGTCACCTCTGAATCTTTCCTTTCATCACATATGTGCTTGCACACTTGAAATTCCACTGGTGCTACTTCTCTCTCATCCATTTGTACAGTCACATTTCCTCCTTTCTCAAGCCTTAGTAATTGTCAACAAATAAAATTATTATGATTCATGATGCAGATAATTTCACATTCCTGACAGTAACTGCAAGCTTAGTTTTTGTTACTTCAATAACTTAGTTATAAATGCATAGGTTCATGCTGTTACACTGGTTTCTCACTAATGTGGCAGGGCTGAAAATAACTTCATTTACAGTCCTGTGCACAATTGAATGTCTCTGAGCCTCAATTTGGTCTATTTCTGAAATGGGGCTATATGTTTAAAAATTCTGCCATAATTTGCTGTTTCCTTTAAAAACTGAATTCTCTTCCATGGACTTAGTAGCTGGCTTTGGGTTTTCCTTGCTTATATTTTAGCCTTTGTGTTTCTCAGCTGCAAAATAGGAATATTAATTATTTTTCAGTAACTAGCTTTATTAAACATTTGGAGGTTTGAAATTAAAAACCGTTATTCCATATATAAAGCTCAACTCAGGTGCACCTTATAATTGACTCTGTACTGCCATTTTACTGTCATTTGATAGATGAGCAAATGTATGCTGTGCTACTCATACATACTATGCTATGTATGCATTTTGAGTGAACTCCCATTGGTGGAAGGAACTGTGCAGTTTGGCTTGAGGCTTTTGACTCTCTGGCCCACAGAGTCTTGCTTAAGAACTTGCCACCTGTTCACCACTTTTTCAGGAGCCTGGTTCTTCATGATGGTGTGTGTGAGGGAGTCCCTTTTATATCCCCCATAATATATATTCCAATACTCAGGACTCCAGTTCTGCCTCAGCTGCTGACATCTGGATATCTCCAGAATGTAGTATCTAGTACTGGATGCAAGTCAGCAGAGTTACATCACTGAGGTTCTGTGAAAGAACAATGCCAGCAAAATAATGTTGACTTTCTGTGTGCATGTGCACAAGAGCATGTGCATTCTGATGGATGGATAGAACAGTCTTTTGTAGGAATTGATAGCCTCTATAGGTTTGCTTTGCAAACACAGAAAAATATAGGGTGTATTTTACAAGTAACAGAAGCTTGCGAGAACATGTCTTCTTTACTAAGGCAAATGCTGCATAGACTGGAGATGACAGTTCAGCAGAGGCATAATGTTGCCTGGCTTTTTTTTTACCTACTTCATAAGCAAAAGGATAAAATGTGGATGTATATGTTCAGGTCCTGATAGGTTAAAATACATGCCTGGATGACTGAATTGGCTTTTGTGGGCTGTAAGTGAAGGCAAGTGAGTTGTACTGCTGTTCAGTGTTTGTAGGTTTTAGTTTAAAAGATCTTAAACCTCAAGAAATGGAATTCTGTACCCATTGCTGCATTTTTCACAATGCGTAGAAGTCTATATTGTATTTGTAATCTGGTCTGTGTGGATTCTGCACAAGCTTATAAACATAAAACAAAATTTCATTATTTAGAATCTGAGAAGCTAGAGGGGAACCTAACCAGAATTTTCCAGTATTCAGAGATCTCAACTTCAATAATGAAACAAATAACAAAAAGACAGCTGTTCAAGCCCCTGAAAAGGGGTATATTGCACCAATGTAATATTCTTGCTGTGTCTTAAAACCCTGTGTTCCTTGAACGACTCAGAAGCGAGGCAGTCCATATAAGCTCTTTGGAAGTTTTAGAAGCACATCAGAAATGGTATATTAGTGCAGCTGCCCTTTGTTCTGCTTCTTGGCTTTATGCTATTTTCTGATCCTCCTTATTGTAGTTGTATTATTCCTATCCATGAGTACTAGAACTTGAATATATTATGGAAAATAAAAAAGAATATGGTAAGTTTCACCACTTAATTCAAGTTGCGGGTAGAGGTTCCATAGTTTTACATCAGAGAATTCACTTACTTTCTGTAGCTGCTGTTGCAGGAGGACTTCAAAGAACCCATATTCTTTTGGATTACAGCAGAAATAATTGTGTACTTTAGCTCTCTTCTGTTGATATCAGTGCTCAGAATTTACCAGATTAATTTTGAATTAGCCATGAAAAAAGCTTATTTCATGGCTTGAAAGTACATAGGATATGTAATACAGAATAATATTTCTAGTTTTGGAATGTGGTTTTATAGACTAAGTTCAGTTTCTGGGTTGAAATGCTGCTAAGCTAAGAAAAGATAGAATGCTCTTCTCTCTACCATAAAATGAATTTGAATAGAGGTTTATGAGGTTTCAGGAGGTGGGTACTGTACAAGCCTTGCAGCTTCTACTTCCTGTTGTTAATTGGTTTGAATAAAATGAGAATTTTATTCCATGCATTCACATTGAAATATTATTTAACTTGTTCCTTCTGAATTCTTCAGTGTCTTGCTGAATTAGCAACACAGAGTTAACTGTGAATGCTTGTGTCTAAAGAAATGTGGAAAACTCATACGAAGAAATAATGCCGAAGAAAAAGTGATTGTGACCTAGTTTATAGTATCTTCCATTACCTAGCACTGTACATATTTATTAATAAAAATTCACATCTTAAATGCTTGGCTATGCATTTTTAATACATCAATTAAAACACTGTGCACTACATACCAGGCACTTCCATAAGTTATTAACATAATGGCTTAATGTTAAATTTAAAACACTAAGTGCAAGTTCTTGTCTATATTAAAACATGCTGTACAAAAGAAGACTGTAGTCCCCCAATGAGCTTTTTGCATTTAATGTAACTTTTGGACCTGGTTCATACAATATGGCAACCCACCATGGGTGATCAGTCCTAATAGGTTGCCATGTAAGCCCAGCACAGGTTGTGCAGAATGGCTTACTTTTCACAAACACTTCCCTGGGAATCCATGGCTTGTTTTAGAATTGTTGACAGCCATGATGGCTTGTTGTGTCATCCAAACCTGGCAGGGCAATATTATCATGGGCTGCAGAAATCATCCAGCCAGAGCAACATACTCTCTTGTTGCTACTCATCGTCTTTTTTCTGCTGCCAGCCTAATCCCTGGTCAGTGCTATCTGGCCTGGCGTAAGGTCCAGGGCATGGGTGGCAGAAACCTAGACAGAGACACCAGGACCCAGGCAACACAGTCAATATGGTATAAGGCCAGAGTCCATTCCCAAACAAATTCAAGTTGCACTCCAGAAAAGTCAAGAGCAAACCGGGAGCAAACAGGGAAGCAAACAAAGCATAGTTCCATAAAGAAGACCATGGTAAAAAATGAGTCAGAATTTGGGAGTCAGAAATTGCACCCTTGTAAGCCGCCCCAAGGCTTTCTGCGATGGGGGTGGCATAAAAATGTTATAACTAACTACCTGTACAAAGGAATGGGTACCTTGAAGCAGGAGCAAGGTCTAACACAGGAAAGGGCTTCAGACACT